CGGCTTGTCGCTGGGGCCGGCGATGCACTTGAAGGGCCACAGCTTGATGTCGGACTGCACGATGGGGTCCTGGAACTTGCGGCCGATCAGGCGCTTGGCATCGAAGACCTCACTTGCAACTTCCCGCTGAAGCAATGCAATATACATCATATACGGAACGGCTCAAAACGGACACCCGAAAACAACGGTTCTCACTGCGAGCTGCCGGCAGTGTTTTCCGGGTTGCGTGCAACCTGGTTCTTTGCGGCATCGCCGATCAAGCCTTGGAGAGAGGCCCAAGAAACGCGGGCTTCAGAGCAACGAGGACTTTGCGAAATCATTGTTTCGAGGGCTATTGATATGGAACATCGAAACACACATCCAAGACGCGCTCGGTGTCCGTGAAGGCCACGTAGGACGGGGTGGTCCGGTTGCCCTGATCGTTTGCGATGATCTCGACGCCGTCATTCTTCCACACGCCGACGCAGCTGTACGTGGTGCCAAGATCCTCACAGCCGCCGGGCATACGGCCATCATTTGCATTCATGAAAGCAGGGTTCGGGTTCTGGGTCAGATCTCCACGACAGGTGAGAACGGCAAATCTGGGCCCCGACAGCAATGCCAATCAGAGATGATTGTCTGCAGAGGGACTACAAACGGACGGGGTGGACGCACAGCCATGGAAAGCCGAGTGTCGATGCCGATTGCGGTCTTCTTGGCCATGGCGCTTAAGGACAAACTTCACAGGATGTTAGGAATGGCAAAACTGACGGCTGCAGAAGAAGCAGCTTGACACATCGAGTGCGGAAGTGCTGCCCACTGACAGTGACAGCTGCATGAGGTGCCGCAGTCCTTTTCCGGCATGCACTGTACAGCACCGTCTTGCATTCCTGGTCTCTGGAGGGAAGCCTTGTAGGCAGTTCAGATAGTGAGGCAGGCTGGCGAGAACGCATTGCGCACGAGCGCCTGCTTTGCACTATGCATGGCCTCAGGCTTAGTCAACCTCCTCAACGGTCGGGCCGCTGGCGCCCCCGGGGGCTCCGCCCATGCCGCCACCAGGCATGCCACCCTCGGGCATGCCGCCACCGCCGGCCGCCTGGTAGACCTTCATCATGATGGGGTTCACGATGCCCTCGAGCTCCTTCTGCTTGGCCTCGAACTCGTCCTTCTCAGCGAGCTGGTTCTTGTCCAGCCAGTCCAGGGTCTCCTGGACTGCGCTCTCGATCTTTTCCTTGTCGCCTCCCTCGAACTTGTCCTTCAGCTTCTCCTCGTTCAAGGTGTTGCGCATGGTGAAGCAATAGTTCTCGAGGCCGTTCTTCGCCTCGATCTTCAGCTTGTTCGCCTCATCTTCGGCGCGGAACTTCTCCTTGCTTGCGTGTCGTGCTCTACCCCTTCTACTCCTTCACAACTTCACAACCTATACTTTTCTCGGAAACAGAAAACGCTCCCAAGGTCACTGCGCCCAAGTTTCTGCTTCCTGCACCATGCGGTCGATCTCGGACTGCGACAGACGGCCCTTCTCCTCGCTTCGGCACGCCACGAGAACTTGCACGTACATCTGTGTGTTGTTCTACTGCATGGCTACACCTCAAACCCTTCTGAACCACTTCTTAAGCTAGATTGAATTCAAGACACGTTCGTGATCGTGATCTGGTTGGACTTGCCGGTGGACTTGTCCGAAGCGCTGACGTTCAGAATGCCGTTGGCATCGATGTCGTAGGTCACCTCGATCTGAGGAACACCACGTGGGGCTGGCGGGATGCCATCCAGGTGGAACTTGCCAAGCAGGTTGTTGTCCTTGGTCATGGCACGCTCGCCCTCGAAGACCTGAATCAACACACCCGGCTGGTTGTCGGCATAGGTGGTGAAGGTCTGTGCCTGTGCAGATCACTCAACAAGACCTTAGCCAAAAGCCGTCGCCCATAGAAGCCCTCCACACAGAGGGCAAGTCAGATTTAAGAGGCTGTAGTCAATGCAACTCAAAGGAAAACTGAAAACCATAGAAAACTCCTGAGAACGGTTGGAGGTAACAGGCCCTCTTCGAACTTGGATTCTAGAAACCCGGTGCAGGCCTTCTTCGTCGGGATTGTTGTATTTCGCTCAATGAGCTTGGTCATGACTCCGCCGGCGGTCTCTAGACCCATGGACAAAGGCGTCACATCCAAAAGCAGAAGGTCCTGCACCTGGGACGAGCCCTCGCCCGTCAGAATGGCAGCCTGCACTGCGGCACCATAGGCTACGGCCTCATCAGGGTTGATGGACCTGTTTGGCTCCTTGCCGTTGAAGAACTCCTGGATCATGGACTGCACCTTGGGAATGCGCGTGGAGCCACCGACCAGCACCACATCGTGCACACTCTTCTTGTCGATGCCAGAGTCCTTGAGGCACTTCTCCACCGGACCCATGGAGTTGCGGAAGTAGTCCATGCACAACTCCTCGAAACGGGCACGGGACAAGGAGCAGGAGTAGTCGATACCCTCGAAGAGGGAGTCGATCTCGATGGTGGCCTGCGTGGAGGAAGACAGCGTGCGCTTGGCTCGCTCGCACTGCGTCCGCAGACGTCGGATAGCGCGCTGGTTGCCGGCCATGTCCTTGCCACGGTTCTTGCGCCTTGGATGGAAATCCCGTCGGAAGCTTCAACTCTGCTACGAAAGCCCTTGCAAGTACTCAGCCAAGTCACTTGAAGTCCTGGATGCAGAAATCCACCACTCGGTTGTCGAAGTCCTCACCGCCCAGGTGGGTGTCGCCGGCGGTAGCCTGCACGAGTCGAGAGTTCAACTGCAAAACAGAACCTCTGCCGCCGGACATCCAGGCAGCACAGAACCCTCAGAGGCACCTTCACCTCGAAAATGCCATCCTCGATGGTCAGGAGCGAGACGTCGAAAGTACCGCCACCCATGTCCTGTGGCCAGGATATGAAGGCAACGGCAACACAAACAGCTGCTTGAGCAAGTAACTGGAACTACTGTACTCGAACTTGGAAAAGGGGAAGGAATGCAAAGACAAGCGTCATAGATGAGAACGTTCCTCTCGCCGGTGCCCTTCTTGTCCAGGCCATAGGCAATGGCTGCTGCGGTTGGCCTCAGATCCCGCAAATCGCTCGCCTTCGGAAGCTGCCAAGCTAGAAACGGCGCTCTGTGGCAGAGCAAGCCTGCAAGTGAGACCACTTGTCGGCCGTGCTTTCACGGTTAGCCTCGGTACTGTTACCTTAACCCTGCAAACGACCCAGAATGACCCCGAAGTCGAGAAGTCGATCAAGTTGAGCCGCTCGTTGATGATGCGAAGCACGTTCATTCCTGAGATGGTGCCCGCATCCTTGGTGGCCTGACGCTGCGAGTCGTTGAAGTACGCGGGAACCGTCACCACGGCATCGTTGAGCTTGGTGCCGAGGTAGGCCTCTGCGGTCTCCTTCATCTTCAGGAGCACCATGGAGGAAATTTCTTCTGGATGGAATTTCTTTTCCTGCGGACATCACGGGGCAACAAAGAGCACGGGGTAAGCGTGGAAAGACATGCCATGTTGCCCAAGAACAAGCAGGACACATCTCCCACAGAAAGCTCCCTGCAATGAGGTGCATCTGTCCCGCATGCAAGTATCGAAAGACAAGCCTTCTGGGTGGAATTTCTTCTTCTGGCCTCGTGGCCCATGCCCAACTGCCACTAGAGTTAGTCAATCGACTAGAGCACCATGCATATCCTTCAAGGGACTATGCAACTGTCCTGTCTCCGCAGAGCTATGTTCGGACATTATGATGCAACTAACATGGGTTGAGCATCGAAGGAGCATGCCTGCACACATGCAGCAATCATCAGACAGGCCAGCCCGCAAGTTAGGGGGGTCCTATAAGGTCCGAGTCGTCAATGATCAGGAGAGATCGTTGGGCCTAGCTGCTTGGCGTCAATGTTCAAACCCCCCAACCCGGGCTGTGAAGCTGTCCTCACCCTCCACTTGGACCACGATCAGCGGCTTGTCGCTGGGGCCGGCGACGCACTTGAAGGGCCACAGCTTGATGTCGGACTGCACGATGGGGTCCTGGAACTTGCGGCCGATCAGGCGCTTGGCATCGAAGACCTCACTTGCAACTTCCCGCTGAAGCAATGCAATATACATAATATACGGAACGGCTCAAAACGGACACCCGAAAACAACGGTTCTCACTGCGAGCTGCCGGCAGTGTTTTCCGGGTTGCGTGCAACCTGGTTCTTTGCGGCATCGCCGATCAAGCCTTGGAGAGAGGCCCAAGAAACGCGGGCTTCAGAGCAACGAGGACTTTGCGAAATCATTGTTCTGAGGGCTATTGATATGGAACATCGAAACACACATCCAAGACGCGCTCGGTGTCCGTGAAGGCCACGTAGGACGGGGTGGTCCGGTTGCCCTGATCGTTTGCGATGATCTCGACGCCGTCGTTCTTCCACACGCCGACGCAGCTGTACGTGGTGCCAAGATCCTCAGATGGTACAGAGCACAGGGTAGCGTAGCCAGATTCAACCCTACTAGGGAATACTCGGAAAATGCCGACCCTCAAGGAGATGATGGTCAAGGGGACGTTCTGTGCTTGTTGCGTTGAGGGCACAAGGCCTATCTTTCGGCCAAGGATCGATACCAATTGCGGTCTTCTTGGCCATGGTGTCTAACTACAAAAGCTGGGATCAGCACAAGATAAGGTGCTGTGCACTGCAAAACCGATGGCTGCAGAAGAGGCAGCTTGGTGCAGGGGCCAAAGCGGCTGGAACAGGGTTTCTTTGTCGTATGTTGGACTACACTTGAAGGGCTTTCAAGGGCCATATCGCAAGCTAGCTGGGGCACAGAGGTTTGTGCCTGTTCGATTACAGAACGGCATAGCGATGCATAGGAGACCTTCGAATCTCAACCTCAAACCCTGAGCCCTGAATATGCTTGCAAGCTAAAGCCTTCGTGAAACCTGAACCTGCGATCCGAATGAGCCCCCTACACTCTACTCAAAAAGAGACCTGAAGGCCCTAAACCGCGGCCCCCCAACCTCACTGGAAAAGCAGTGCCTGCGCGAGCTCGGTGCCCTTCTTCAGCCAGTGGAGAAACTCCTGAAAAAAAGCAAGCGGCTTCGTTGACTTTAAGAGTTGCTAGGGAGCAGCAAGTCGGGTTCCTTTCTGGGGGTTTGATAAGGCTCTTCATAGCAATTCGGAGTGGAGGGATGCTTCTTTAAGGTTTCGGGTTGCTGGCTTCGGCCAAACAGTCATCGAACCGCCTTTGCCAGATCGCGGGCTTCCAAAGAAGGATCAGGAACAGACACCAAACCTCAGGGTTCAGGATTTCGGGTGTAGGGTCGAGCTTGAGGTGCACTCGCCTTGGAAAGCTACGCGTTTACAAGTTGGGGGATTCAAGATTCCATGAGGAGAGACCACAACGCAATCATCACAAGGAACACCCAAAAGTAGCCAAGAGCCGTGAAGACCAAGGCTTAAGACATTGATGTAAACCGCACATCCAGGGTTCCCATGTTATGGGTTCGGGGGTGCTGAACCGAATTAGAAAGCCATACGACCACAAGACCACAAACTGATGAGGCTTAAAGGTACCTTCTATTCATCCCTCAAAGAGGCTCCTTGTGCGAGACCTTACCGTCTCCACCTGAGCCGCATTTGCACTGCAAGGTTAGGGAAGGCTGAGTTCACGGGGTTCCTTGCGGGCTTAAGGGTGGAACACTCGACCTTTGCTGGCTTTTTGGGTCTTGTTTGGAGGGTTTGGTTGAAGCGATCGGATTCCAACTTCGCATAGACCCGACCTAAGCCCGGAGCTGCAAGCACTCAACGAAACTGCAACGCCGGTTGTGGCGTCCGCAAGTGCTTCAGAACGATCTGCGCCAACGGGTGGTGTACAGCGTCGAAGAACTTTCGCAAATCTTCTTGAACAAAGCAAACAGTACCGGTCTGCATCGCATGGCGCACACGGGCGGTGAACGTCAGAAACGGCACGGCCAGGCATGCCGCCGAAGAAAGTGTCTCCCGCCCGTTGCGAGACTCAAGGTCTCCGGCAACCCGGGCCCTCTTAATTAACCCTACAAAACCTCAAACTCCAAACCTTCTTAGCCTTAATCCCTACATCCCGGACCCTCTTAACCCTAAACCCCAAGCCCTCGTAACCCTAGACCCTAAACCCCGAACCCTCTTAGTCCCAAGCCTTGAACCCCGAACCTTTTTGACCCGAATCCCTAAACCCCTGACCCTCTTAACTTAACCCAACCCGGACCCGTTTAACCCTAAGCCCTAAACCCTACACCGCAAACCCCTCTTAACCCTAAACCCTGAATCCTGGACCTTAACCCTTTAGGGGACCACTGCTTCAGGGGAAGGAAGTCTCTGAAATCTTGGAGTTAAGGGGCTTTGGGCTTTAGGCTCTAAGCCCTTAACATGGGCCCCAAGAGAATCCAATGCCCACTTCACATGCTTCGCCCAGTCCAGTAACATTCTAACTCCTGTATTGCATGCCCTAAACCTGCATCCCTTAACCCAGAATTGTTCCTGAAGTCGGAGCCACGTTACTCTATGGGGATCAAGATAGTGACAGACTCTGGAGTCTCTCGCCCTGCACTTAGACTCGACACTAAAGTCACAGAAGCCATCTAAAGCACACATCCCCGTCCTCGTCACCCTTGCCCTACCCCGCGCTCTCAAGCCTTCTGAGATCCGCTGAAACCCCAAAGACAACCCCAAATCCCCTTCCTCGCCTCGATCCAGCTCCTTGCACAGGGCCTCGATGTCTTTGAAGGTGAAGTCCGAATTCAGCCTGTGCTACATCGGTTCCCGGAGAAAAAACAGGGCTCCCAATCGCAGCCGCTGGAGGGTTTGGCGCGGAGTTCTGTGGTTTTACTTTCTGTGGTCGAAGAACCTAGTCCAGATCGCCATAAACCGTCAAAAAAAGAAACGTCAGGGTTTGGTAAAAAGCCTTCGACGGATGTAGAAATTTAATGCCTGCGGAAGGGGCTTACAGCAAGGATACACGGCGGATTTTTGCGCAGTTTTACGTTGCGTTAGGGCCTCCTGGGTTGTTTTGCTTTCGTGGTTTGCGGGTTATGCTACTTTATAATACGTTATAGCAAGCATGCAGCCACTATATACATTATGGAAAATTCCCTGCTCTCCCATGTTGATATGGGCGGCTTCTCTTGGTGTCTGTTCGGGGCTTTGGGTTGTTTGGAGGTTGAGGGTTTGAGCTTACAGGGTTCAGAAGCCTAGGGCGTATGATTTAAAACTTAGGACCATTGCTGAACTCCACTTCATGTACAAGGCAGCTGTGTTGAGAGTGCGGGGCGTAGGGACGGCGGGATCGGGTCGTGCTGCGGCCCATGAAGGAATGTGATGGGCTGTTACCAAGCGGGGGTCTAGACCTGGAAAGCCCGATCACTTGGCCGCCACACGTGCGGAAGACCCGGGACAGCTCGTCCTTGTCGAGGTACCCCCCGCCATCGGAATCGAACCTACCGAGGGAGGGAACGAGCGCAGTCACAAAAGAAAACAGCAGTCACAGAGCGAGAGAGAGAGAGAGTGAGAGAGAAAGCAAACAGCCGGAAGACAGAAAGATTGAAAGTCCGTTGCGTCCGTTTCTTCGAGCGCTTCGGGAATCCAGGGCCCCCGGCCTTTGGAAAACTTCCCGCACTCTGGCCGACCTGGCCCAAGATTCACGGAGTTCAAGGTTGCCCTGTTTTAGGGAAGAGGTGGGCTTCAGGACTTCAGGCTCAGGTCTAGGATTCCAGAATGGCGAGCTTGAGGTTCCGGGGCTTTTCGAACTTTGGGACCTTTGGACTGAGTCGGTTCGCGGGGATTTCTGGGAGACGGGTGGCCGAGAGCCGCAGCCACGCTGATCGCAGCAAGCAAGCAAACTCGACAACCTGAACCCCAAACCTGGAAGCCCCCTAACCCCGAACCAAGCCCTATCAAGTCGGGCCATGTCGGGCCTAAGTCCTTTGGGTTTGGGGTTCAAGGTATGGGCCCAGGGATACCATCCCAGTGTAAGCTCCGGAGCTCGTGCCGTGCCAGCCATCCCCACCCACTTCTTGCCATCCTGCCAGTACCCCCCCCCCACGACAAAACTCGGCTCGATGTGCATGGCATCGCCGGTCTCTTTCAGGATCACCTTATAGACCTCCTCAGCCGCAGGACCTTGCACCGACCCACACGAGACAAAACAAGGCATTTTAGAAGCTTAGGTGCGCGGAATTGGGTTTTGGAAGGCAGACTGATTAGAACAAGGTGCTCCAACAAAGTTGGCAGCGGTATTCTGCATGTACCTGATGTATCACCATCATAGTCATAGGTAAGACGACCAAGAAACAAAAAACAAAACAAAAAAACGGCTGTTATGGAGTTGCTCAGTACCGAGGTGCCGAACTGGAAGGTTGGGGCGCTCACACTTTCTTCCAAGGAGCGACAGAGAATACTCTGTACTTCAGAGACCCCTAGCGAACAACACACATCAGCGATTCGAGGTACCCCCCCCCCCCGCTTTTCGAGAATCTCACTTCGGCAGGCTTCTGGGCAGAAATGTGGTCCAGCGTGTCAAGCTGAGGTTTTCGGGCGCGGAGCCGTTTATGGAAGTTCCAGATCCCAAACAAACAGCAAAACTTTTCGAAAGGACGTCTACTTTTTGCAACGGTTCGCATACGTCAGACAAACACCAGCAAAACAAGAACCACTCAGGTCATTGGAGGCTCATTGTGGGCTCCTGTCTTAAGCGCCCGGCTGCCGGCTTTGATCCATTCTAAGAACTCGGTATTCGAGACCGCGCCGTCACCGCCTCTGACCGCACGAGACGATGGTACCGTAAAGTTTAAAGGGGGTCCTCAAAACTCATAAGGACTCAGGATCTAAACAGTGTACAACTCCAAGTTTCGCGAAGAAACGAAGCCCGAACCCCGAATCCCGAAGTGACAAACCCTGAAGAGCTATGCGCTCTGTTCGTTTGGGGTTCACGGCTTAGCGTTCTTTGGAACATTCCGGGTTTCGGGTCCAAGTTGAGCCTTCGGCTGGGGACATCGGAGGTTTCCTGCTCTGGGGATCTCTCGGAATCAGGGAATCGAGGCCTAGACTCCACAAAAATCGATCCGAAGCCTTCGAACTTCCCAGGCGGTTGCGAGGCCATGGGCTCCTTTGAAGCCCAGAACTGTCAAAAGGACCTTTCGAAGCCGAAGCTCAAGGGGTCGCGAGGCGCCTTCCAAAAAAATCCGCCAGAGCAACGCTCCACTGCTCACCTTCTCCTCTTGAAGAGTGCAAGAGTCTTAGAGCTGCGAAAGGAAGGCCCTCTGCTGAACTCAAGGATCCGAACACCCACAGCCACACCCACTCCCGAAAAGCCTACGATAAGGTCTAGCCCGAACAAAAAGCCCCGCTCCCAAAAAGAAAAGCCTGCCAGAAAGTCTCGAATTATAGAGAGAGCCCCCAGAGAGGCCTCGGTCCAGCTCTCCCATGAACCTCGGAGCTCCAAGGCTCAGGGCTTGGCTTCTTGGGGGCGCTTTAGGGGTATTTAGGGCTCTTCTTGGGGGCTCTACGGCTCAAAAGGAAGGTCAGTTGCTGATTTTTGTGGAGACTTTTGGGGACCCGGGGTTCTCTGCGACGGCCTTGAAAGCCTCGGAAGCTTTTGAGGCCTTGCGGGGCTTTGGGGTAAATGGCCGATGTGCCGTCGGATTCTGGCGTGTGTGGGGCTTGAGGACTTCAGAAAAAAAGATCCAGGGTGTGACAAGGTCTGGGGTTTTGAGGATTGAAGTCGACGGCGAAGGGTTGAATGTGTCATCTCTGCACGAACGTGCTTCTGGTTCCTTTCAGGAGACTAACAACAAAATCCTAGTAGCAGGTACCTCATTATCTACGGCCAATGGGGCTAGCCAGTTCGAGGACATGGTTCCTCAGACATGGTTCCTCAACGTGGGACCCCACGCCAATATCCTGTCAATATTGACTGTAGGCTTTTTCGGCGATTTACCCTCCAAGGGGTGTCGGCTTTCGACTTCTCTCACCGCATACGGGGAAGTGGTGACTTGCAAATTTCCTTGAAGATAACTGCTTTGGTAACAGTGGGTCACAAGAAAGATGCGGCTCCCGGACTTCCCAAGGTCCCCAAATGTCAGCCTTCGAGCAAAACTAGAACGCCGAAACCTAGGCGCCCGAGTAACTCACCCGAGTTCCTGGGCCCTACTGGCCCCTAAACGCCCGCAAGCCTCAGACCCTAAGATCCGCAGTTCAAGCCTAAAGCCCCAACTCGACCTAGAGAATCCTAAAGCCTAGACCCTAAACACCCGAACCCCGCCTGGAGATCTCTTTCGAGGAGAAATTTGGGCAGAGAGTCTTGAAGACCAGCCTCAGGCAACGGAAGAGTCCACCATGGTACTGTAAGGGCACTGCGCAAGGCCAACTTAATCCTGGAAAGCCTGAAACCCAGAAAGTAACCCCACCTAGCAAGATCTTCACGCAAAGACGAAGAAAAGAAGCGTCCAATACCTATACTATACTGTTTTGGGGGCTCCAAAAACAGAATGATGTCAGTGAAAAAAAAAAAAGCAGCCCAGCCGAGGCACTGCATCTCCTGTCGGTCCAAGGAGCCGCCGCCATCCTTCGCCGCGGGATTATTTGGAGCTCGGATTTTTTGGATTCTCTGAGTGAGGCTTTCGGGTTTGGGGTTCAAGATTTAAGGCCTAGGAGTTTAGGGGTTTGGGGTTCGGGATTTCGGAGTTTGGGATTGTGGCGCCTCGCTTTTTGGGATTTCAAAACTTTGAAGGACTCAGGACTTCAGAGTTTCCAGGCTTTAGGGGTTCTAGCGGGCTCAGGATTTCGGCTTCTTGACTCTAGGCGTGGAATATTCGAAGCTTTTAAGATCTTCGGGCCAGACATTGAAGGTTTGGGGCCAGGTTGGGGTCATTTCGAGTTGAGGGTCTGCGGTTCAAGCCGTTGGGGAGCAGCTCGTGGAGATCGGGGTTCAAATCTTCGCGCTTTCAAGTTCTGTATCGGGTTTTCTTGCAGCCATACATCCCAAGAGGTGTTTCCCAACAACCTGAATCTCAACAGATCAACCCGAAAACAAACAAACCCTCGAAAATGATACCCGATCACCTGGACCGCAGAACCTCAAAACCCCCCAAGATGTAGAAAACTCCTAACCGAAGCTCCAACCCAGGGCTGAGGGTGCAGAGCCGCCGGTGTTGGGGCTTCGGGTTTGGGTGCTTCGGGTCCATGGTTTGAAATTTGAGATCGGGCCACCGGATTTTACCCATGAGCCGAAAACCCCAAGAATACTAAAAACCCTAAACCCTGCAAACCCCGTTACGTCACCACGAGATGGGCCTTGTCGAAACGTTCGAAGACCTGCTGGATCCTCCGGAGGCAGGGGTTTTTTGGGAGCTTCAGCCCAATGGGTGTTGCCAGTCGCGGATTCTGGTCCGAAGGAGCCCGGCCCGAGCCGAGGCGCTGTGCCGAGGACCCAACCGAAACCCCACACCCCGGTAGATGATGCCATCGCCTCGAGCCCTGACTTCACCGAACTCGTACGTGGAATCCCGGAACAGCGGCCTCTGCACTAAGCTGATGTCGTCGCCCGACATGGCTAAGAGAGAGAGCGGGGCTCAGGGACGAACCCCCAAACTCTAAGCTCCGACTTTGAGATGCAATGGAATTGAAAACGGTCTGGGGAGTAGGCTGCCCCAGGCCTGCACCTCGAGGCTGTGAGACTTTTGGGGGTGGGATCTTGGAGTCGGTCGGCGTGGGTAGTCGATGCTATGATCAGGGCCAGGGTCCACAAACCTGCCGCTTGCCACATGACATGTTCGAAGCTGACAGCTACAGGAGCTCGGTGATGCGAGGCGTCTTCAAATGCTCGGGAAGTCGGCGCACAGGGCGCTTTAAAACTTCTGGGTCGCTAACAGGATTAGAGGACCCGGAAACCCCCTCAGTGTCGTCAAAATCTTCTCAAAGTCCCAACTTCCCACGGCAGCCGACAACCAGGGCCTGTGTGTCAACACCAATGTTCAGCACATGGGGTTCAGGATCCCCCTTAAAAGCCCTGTAACATCTAAAACCCTAAACGCCTAAACTTAAACCCGAAAAGACCCGAAGAGAACCCTGTTACTGAGAATCTGCACCAGGAAGACAAGTCACTCAGTTCAGCTCCGTTTTGAGTTGCTTTTTGAAGCCTTCTGCACTTGGGGTTCGGTGTTTAGCGTTCCAAGGCTGATGTTCCAGACTTCAGGCTCGAGGTTGGGTTGAGCGCCTCATTTTGACTTGCTGTGTCTTCTGGGGGCAAGGTCCATGTTTATGATTATGAATTATGCATTATGAATTATGATGTTAGTCGTCCCCCAGGGGTGCGATGTGAGCACGCGGCAATGTGGTAAGCGTCTTGCGCAGACTTCGCATGTGCATTTGTATTCTACCTTGGGATGTGGGGCTAAGGGTTCAAGCTGTCATTCGACATGAAAGCAACGACAAATTGGCAGCCGCGGATGTTCTGTGCTCGATGTCTATTTTCACAGACTATGCAGCAGAATATTTCCTAAGCTCCGCATGTAGGGCTCGGGCTTATACGGAGGCCACGACTCTTTTTCGCCCGGTTTTGCAAAATTTGTCCCGGTCATCGCACGGGACAGGTTAGACCATTGGTCCCAAGGTGGGTATGGTAAGAATCTCACCCCTCAGCACGCTCCGCCCGCCGAGGTGCACCGTGATCTAAGACATGGTGGCATAGCTGTTACACTGGTGCTTGTCTGGCATAGTTCTGGATAGTTACGTGTCTGGCCCCTGCGTTCCATCTCGTACATATTGACACAGTGTTTCTGCTTAAGACCCCAATTGGGTGCCTATGGGTTTCAGCTACATGTCAGGGATTCCCAGCAAGAGGGCCCTCGCCTCAATGGATCCCTTTGCGCATCTCTCGGCGGACGACGGTTTATATCCAAAACAGCCGCCCCCCCCTCCCCTGGTAGGCGAGGGCGTAATCATCTCAGCTACGGGTAAACGATATACTGTACAGTGTACACACCTTTCTCAACCGAGTCTCAGTTGGGGACCACGCAGACCGCCTTGCCCTTGCCCTTCCTCGGCGCGACGAGAAGAGGCGGCGCTGGCGGCTCCAAGTGCTTCAAAAAAGGACCCCGCCACTGAAAGGAAGCCTATAACAGAAGATTGTCGAACTCTCAACCCATTCAGGAACAGAACGAAACCTCTAGACTTGCAAGCACACACACACACACACACCAGAGAGACACCGAGAGAGACAGAGAGACGCCGAACGTGGGGCCGGGCGTCCCCTTGCCCTTGGGATCCTCGCCCATGACAAAACGGACATTCTGCCCTTGCTGGAGGGAGCCTCGGACAGGGCTGAAGCGTTGACTGGGGACCACGTTTTTTGGTTTTACGTTTTTTGGTTTTTGGGCTGAACGCCCTGAGGGTAGCCTTTGGAGCCCTGGGGTGTAGGGCCAGGTATGGTTCAAGGTTCACGGTTGAGACCCCACATGCTTCAGAGCTTTGCCCCCAGACTCTCAGCCATAGAATCCTACATCCGGAACCCTGGACACTAAGCCCGCAGCGCTCCCAAGAGTTTCGAGGTTTGGGAGAACCTTTCTGCAGCTTTTCGGGGGTGCAGACATGGCTCATGTCATCGAGATGGTGTAGGGATGTGCAGGGCAGTGTAGGGTCCAGGTGTCAGGTTCTACGGTTTATGGATCTAGGGAGGACACCCTCCGTCAAAGGCTAGATCCACGAAACCGGAACCCCCAAACTCAAACCCTGATCTGGAGACCGACAGTCTGAAGTGAACTCCAAAAGCCTGAATCGAAGCCCAAAACTCCGAACCCCCGCAAACCCACCAGCAAAAAAAAAACGGCCGTGTGGCGGTAGGACTCTTCAGTCTGGATGGCGCTGAAGTGCACGTAGACGTCGTCGCCCCCCCGGCTGGGGGTAATGAAGCCATATCCTGGCTCGAAGCCCGATACAGGGGGGGTTCCAGGCATGGCACAAGCGGCAACAACCGAGTTTGAAGCAAGACTTCTACATTGTCCACACCGCGATCTCCGGTTTATTCCTGGACCTCACACTGCTGCACTGCCAACACTCCTGAAAAAACTGCGAAAAGCTCGCTCGGCACAGACATGCTGATAATCCTGTGTTTTCTATGCACAGGAGTAGCACAGTTTACACTGTGATGTGAGGAAGGGTGCTGGCTCCATCCTATACCTTCTGCTTGCCATGTGAAAGGCTCCAGTGCAGTGGTGTTTCCATACTCGTCTTCTTCAAACTGATCCGGTTCGTGAGAAACCTGCTTCCCAGAAGTCTCCTATTGTGGCAGTCTAACATCTTCTCCGAACAGTAAGGTGATGCCGAGTCTTGCCCCACAGAAGGAGCCGTTGGGTGCGAGGCCGGAGATTGACTTACGAGCTTCTGTCGTCTTTGCTGTCGTCTTTGAACTTGCACTCTTATCATCTCTTATCTGAAAATGCGAGAGACAAAAGCGTACTTCCGCAGAGCTTTGAGGCCTCTGTCGTCGTTGAAGGTCGCAACGACACCGTCTTCCATCTCCCCATCGGAGTAGTCGCGTCCTCCTCCTCCTCTGGGATCTTGCTTGAGAGACTGAGGGGCTTCGGGGACCCGCAGGTCGGATGCTGGGAGAGGCCCCCCGATGTTTTTGAAGGACCCAGGTTCCAGAAGATTCTAATTCTAGGCTTCCGGCTTCAAACTGCTCGGAGCCATCTTAGGACTTGAACCAGGGGGCCCCGTGGCTGCGGGTTGCTCTGGGTTAAGACTGGGGCCTGGGGTTCTGAGGTTTGGGACTGCGCGCTCTCTGCGTCTCGTACGAGAAGCTATGTGGCCAAACTCTATAGCCGAAACGCGAGCAGTGATAATGTCCAGACTGCTCACTTCTAAAATCGCATGCCGATCACTCTGACTAATCCAACACGAAGTCCCCTTGCAATGGTGGGGGAACACTTATTTATGCGGGCTCATATCCATGTCTCAGATACATGCCAGTTTGTCAGTCTGTACTGCATGTACGGCTGCTTTTCACCAAATCTTAGGGCAAGTGAAGATCCAGCAAGTGTTAAGAAACTGTCCATCATCAGGCACCGAACACATTGACACGACTGACGACTGCAACTTACCTGGAGATATATTGGGTCGAATCAATGCAGACCTGCAGAGACAGGAAACAATATGCCATAGACGAACAAATGCAAAGAAGGATCACCGGATCACCCTAAACAGAAACCCTCATCAGTTCGAGGGAGCGAATCTCCCAAGGCCTGCATGGGGCTCAGGCTCCAGCAGAGTTTGGGGTGAGGGGTGAGCGCAGGGGTAACCGAACTGAAGCGAGCTCAACGCTTTTGGGCCGGGAGGCCTCCTCCCTTGCCCTTTCCCTTGCCATAGCCGCCCTTGCCATAGCCCTTGTCGTAGCCCTTGTCGTAGCCTTTGTCGTACCCGCCGTAGCCCTTGCCATCTTTTCCATCCTTGCCTTGCAAAATCGCAAGTTGATCGCAGAAAGTATCGTAAGCAAGGGGTCCCCGGTTGGGTGCCCCATTTCTGTTCGGAAAAGTCCGGCCTTTGCCCTTGCCTCCTTGGTCGATCTTCACGTTGACGTACCGTCGGTTGCCCTCCATGGTGCCTGAGTTCTGGTCTTGGGGAGTATGTGACTTTGATGGGATCTTGAGCAAGAGCACAGTCTTGCTGCATTGGTTCTGCGATTAGTGCAGAACTGTCATAGCGGATGAAGTGGGACAACGATTACTATTGCTGTGCTGCAACTCACGCATCATTGTGCATATGATAAATGATAAATGATTGATACACCTGATGATCGCTGTTGTTACCGAGATCATTACGCATGGCTTTGGGGCTCCAGGGTCCGGCTGCTGCTTGTAGCAACACCACTGCTTCACAGGGGTCGCAAAGCGTTCCATCCCATAGCCGAGGTCTGAGATGACCTACTTTAGCCCGACACTCTGGTCCTAATGCACACAGAGCCCTGACTGAATAAGTCCCGATTCTGATTCAACCCCAATTCCTGAAAACTGTGGCATAGACGGGAAATTCCCTAAACTGTCGGCACGAAGCCCAGGCCCAGAGATGAGTTCAGGGTATTTGAGCCATGGGCTGATGTGTTTCGGGCTGCGGGTTGATGAAGCTGTAAGCCTCTTGGGATTTGTAAATTGGGCTGTGTCGAAGTTCGGGCTTAAGAGGTCAGAGGTGGGAACTTGCGAAAGAAGCTGCTGTTGTTGAGCTCATTCACCGCACGGTCCGCGTCCTTTGAGGTTTCCTTGAAGCCACACAAAGCTGGGATTGAAACACCAATATCCTATCTGCTCGATTCGTAAACAGAACAGACCTACAATGCTGGCTTGTGAATGCTGGTGCAACCCAACGAATAATGCAAGCACCCTTCTGGTAGCCGAGGCTCGTAGGTCACAACGGCATTCCCTTTGCCCACGAATCGAACGCCTTTGACCGGCGCAATGGCGCTGAAGTGGCTTTCCACCGTGCTTTCGGGGGTGTCGAAGTCGAAGCCGCTCACGAAGACCGCCGACATTGCAGGTGATGCGAGTAGTTGAAGGGATCGACGGTTGTAAGGAAAGGCAAACTACACTTGGGCATGGAAAATCAGCAAATCATCAGCGCAAGCTTGCCACGCGATGGCAGAGCGAAAACAAAGTCCAGGCCGGAACTTAAACAAATACATGTGAAAGATCTCGCTCCTGACACCAGCTGTCGCCTGATCAATTGGTGATTCTACCGCAGTGAAAATATGATGACAACACCAGAAAAGCCACGCCATAAGCAGAATCTAGTTCAACGCATCTTTTTCGTTCATAAAAGCTGAGCGATAGCTATGAGCTTAAGCACCTCGATTTTGCTTTAGGGTTGGCGTTCTCAACAGCGACGATTCGGGCGGCTGGGGTCACTCCGTAAATGGGGATGAATGTTTGCTCTCTGATGCAGTACAGCCGGACACTCTCAAATCAAACATGTTGCCAAACTGCGCAAAACCCAACACGTGGTGCTATCTTTCAGCATAAAAAGCAACCACAACAGCCGCTTGGTTTTGAATCAACACATGGGGTTAAACTATGAAAAGGCATTGGCAGAGCCCAACAAGGTCGCAATGATGCAGGGGGAGGTTAAAATCCACACAAAACGCCGCCAAAGCGGCCCAAACAAGCCACTGGCGCTTTTGGCTTGTCGCACACAAGTGAATTGGCCGAAACCGGTACGCAGCCCTAGCAAACCTTGGCATGAGAATGAAATGTACATCTTGACACCCTCCGACAGACAGAAGCTACGATCCTCCTTGAAAACAGCCGTGGCACCTGTACTGTTCTTTCCGTAACTTTCCTCTGTGCCACTGGCGCGGTTGCTCGCGGTAGGTCTTTGCCTTTCAAGCCCTGGCGCAGCTCGGTCCACGAAACTTGACAACAATTGCAAACTTTGAACGCATTGTAGCGGCCTGTGGCTGGTGGGATTTTTCGCATTTGTCATTTTGAAGCTTCTTCTTTCCACATCTTCGCTTTTACCACCTCGGAGACGCTGAACAATCTCTGACGACGAAGGTTCGTCACCGATCTTGCAGTAGACCGGTCCACCAGTTCATCAAATCGAGTTTTGGTTTCAACTCAAACGCTAGAGTCCGCTAGAGCTGAGAGAAACAGAAAGAGAGAGAGAGAGAGAGAGAGAGAGAAAGAAAGAAAAAAGAAGCAAAAGAGAAACAGTTAGATAAAGAGAGAGTGGCTTTGGACTTTGCGATCGCAGATCAAATACATGCTTTTTGAGCTGCAAATTCGACACGCCGTTGACATAGTACTCTGATGAAGTTCCGCTTTGCCCGTTTACGTCCAGCTTCATGCCGTTATCCGAAGCACATGAGTGCCCAAGCTTAGAATGGTGCGCAAGATCTTGAACAAGACATGTTCGTCCTCTCACATGATTGTACAAGTTGGTGAGTAAACTTACATGTCCGTACTGGAGCAGGTTAGCTCATCTTGTAAAGCAGTTTGCCCTTTGGGCCATGATCGGCAGAAGCCAGCAACAACATGTGGCATATCACAGATCTGCTTGAGTAAAACAGCGCCTTTCGATTCGAGTGCCATGGAAGCCTGAGCCTTGTTCCAACAAGGTACGGGGCAATGCAAGGCCTCCTGGCAGGTAATGCCCACCTACGGCAATGTGGATGCGGAATCGAGCTATGGCCGAAGGCCGTGATCTGCTGAATGGGGTGGCGGTTGGTGGCGCGTTTGAGGGTAGCCAACTTCCACACGTTCCTACAAGCCAGGCAGATCCGGTACGACGGGCTTGCAGACCAGCGAACCAAGAGATGTGAGAATGGCGGACATGCCTTTCTGGTGTACAAAGTGAGTTGTAGGCTAGACATGGTGCGACAGGAGCGGCCGGACTGGGTCCTGATACGACAGCTGGGCCTGAAGCGAACTTGAAAACCGAACTAGGCGAACTTGACCTGGTGCGAACAAACGGAGGTTTCACGGCGAGGCTGTGGTCAGAAGGAGCAGACCAGGTCAGCAACAGGCATATGCCGGACCTGCTTCCGCCGACAATCAGTAACCACTGCATCTGTACGCTTTCTCTCTGTTAGACCTAAACTACCCCTAGGGCCCCTGGAATCTGCTTGCATTCACTTGTGTGGACAGTCATCAGAACTGCTGACACGGGGGATGCATGGCCACAGCACAAGGACGACACGCACAAATGTGCCATGACAGCCCTTTGCGAGCAAGAAAAGGAGTGGATTTTCAAGGTAGCGGAGCCACGGCTCCTGGCCTTTGGGAAAGCCCCTTCGCTCCTAGTGTCTGCGGCCACTTCATGTGCCTCGCCCCTCTTCAACCTGATCCTGAGGACCGTGAAGGAGAAGCTCTTCTGGTGGCGCGTGGTCGCTGCCGGTGCCTGGCCAGGGAACCTCCCCGCCTGCACCGAGTAAGTAGCTGGACAATGGCGCAAGCAAGGGCCGTGTCGGATGCAGCCCAAGCGGCGGCACAGGCCACAGAAGCCGCGCAAGCGGTGATGGCGAGCGCCCACGAGGCGCGGCGGATAGAAGCTCTCTCGCGCTTCATCCAAGAGCCCGACATGTACAAGCCCGACACCAGGGAGCAGGAGATCGACCAGTGGACCGACTGGCGGCACGTGATGCGGAACTACTTGGGCGTTATCGACGCCAACTACCTCACGGAGATGGACGAGGTGGAAGCGAGGACCAACGAGGAGGCCCGCCTGAATGCCGCGACGCACCCAGCGGGCAAGGAGGAGCCGGGAGCTCTACGCTATCCTGGCCAGCTTCATCCGGAACCGCCCCTTGAAGATCCTACGGAACATCGCCGGTTCCAATGGATATGAGGTGTGGAGGCAGCTGATGCGGGAGATGCAGCCGAAGACGCCGGTGATTTCGGCAGCCAAGGCAGTACGGCCCGCGCCCCACTTGGAGATCTTCGACATCTCGGAGGACACCGTCGCGGACTTCGCGCTGGAGCCGGCCGGGCCCTACTTCGTGCAGATGGTGACCCAGGCGGCCGTGGACCACGAGGGCGAGGAGGACACGATGATCATCTTGGACTCCGGCGCCGACGCCAGCATGGTGCCCTATGCCTTATGCCTTCGGTGAGCGCGGCACCCCTGCGGAAGGAAGCCCTCCAATACTGCAAGACGCCCAGGGCAACAGGATCGATGGCGGCACGCACTGCAAGTTCGACTTCTGGTTTGTGGCCGGCGACGGGCGGCGCTTTGCTGTGCGTGAGCAGTGTGTGGTTGGAAATGTGCAAGTCCATTTGCTTGCCATCGGGAAATTGCTGAGGCGAGGATGGCAAGTGATCAACGACGGCGAGGTCAAGCTCCAGGACCCCTTCGGGAGAGCGGCAAAGGTGGCGTTTCGCCACAACAGTTGGGCACTAAGAGGCGACATCCGGAGTGTGGCAGCGACCCCGGCCGTGCGAGCTTTGACCGAGGACCCAAGGACACTGCCACCGGCGCCCCCGCACATTGAGCTGCCGGCGTACATCCAGGACATCGTCGGGCGCGAGGGCATGCATGAGCTACCTCACGGCATCAAGGGCCACTACTCGCCTACCGACTGCTCGAGGCCCTACCTTTCGGGCCGATTCTACGCGGCTGTGAGTGCATCACCTTGTTTCGGCTGGAGAGTTTTGGTGAAGGCTTCTTCGATGGCCGGGGCATGGCACTAAAGACAAGCACCCGAAGGGCAACGGACCCCGCGGAGGAAGACATGCGACGACGAGCCGGCCTCGACACGCCGATGGTGTCGCGGGCCCGACCAAAGGCGGCGAAGTCCTGAAGAGGTACGCGGAGGAGCTGCTGAGGTTTACGATTGCCCTCCACGACCAGGAGCGGATCGTCTTGCAGTCGGACGCGGAACCCACTATCAAGGCAGTGGTTCGCACCACGGGCGACCACAAGCGAACGGCGCGGTGGAACGAGGGATCCAGACGGTGAGGCGGCTGGGCAACACCCTGGTGGAGGACATGGAGGAGATCCACGGCAAGATGGCTGTGGGTTCTGACGTGCGGCTGTGGGCGCAACCCCACACGGCCTTCCTCTACACTTCACGTGCGCCCGCATATGCATCTCACCCCGTACGAGGCGGCCTTCGGAGGAAAACCCTACAACGGCAAGCTCTGCATCTTCGGGGAAACCGTCTACGACAAGATGGTGACGCCATACAAGGGCGGCGCCCAATGGATTGCAGGAGCTTGGGTGGGACCGAACCCAGCCAACGGCACCCACAACATCCTCACCGACAAGGGCGCCATCATGAGCTCGCTCAGAAGCCTTCACGTGTTGCGCTGGCATCGCACCAAGCCAGTGGCAGCACATCCTACTGGGGTAACTATGCTCGGCGGCAGAGTAACAGCCACCCAGCAAGTTTTGTGGGCTCCCGTGGCTGGCGGCCAGTGATGTAAACACTGCGACCTAAGATCGGGCTCATCAATATCACCAATGCGTGGGCGGAACCACTGCCCATGTTGGTAGGGGCCGCTACTGTATTCCCTGGCGTGCGATGGACGAGGGACGCAGAGCTTAGGCCACGGTTCCAAGTATGAGCGAGCATCTTGCGTTTCGGGGCACCCTGTTCGAAACTTTTTGGCTGCCTTACCATCAAGACAGAAGTCTGCTTGCATTCAACGCGGAGTCACGTCACTCTACCGGGGACCAGTCTGTGGGCGGCATGCCATCGCGCAGTGCCCTCCCGTCAAAGAGCCGCCAGTCCTTCAGCGTCCCGTCACCGCAAATGGCCAGTAAATCTTGCCTGTCTTGGCTGGTCAGCGGCTCTGGGGCTTGCACCGCAGCATGTGGAACTTCTTGCATGTCTTTCGCTGTGCGCAAGCACCATCTGGCGTTCATGGGCTTGCTTGCGCTCTGCAACGCCATATTGGAAGTCTGATAGAACTGGTGAGCAAACACATTTGCAAAAGAAACAAATGTTCCACAGCATGGTCCAAAACGAACCAGAACAAACACGCACGTAAAAAAGAGCTTTTGGAGAGACAGCGGTTGTCCTACAGACGGGTCCACGGCACAAAAGTCCGAAACCCATGTTGCTTGCATTCCCTTGAAGTACAAAAGCCTGCAAACCACACAAACGGCACAATGCTATTCCTTTCTGGCTGAAACAGACCCCTGGCTGGAACAGACCCCTGGCTGGGAGAATGGACACACTGTCGCCCGTCTCAGCCTGGATCGAACGAGCGGGATTGCCAACAAAATGGAAGCGGGAGGAGGTGCATCTGAATGACAGCAAACGCATGGCATGTTCTCAGCGTTTGGACAAACTGTCGACTGCGATGTAGCCAGTCCCCAGAGTCCTTGGCGGGCTCCACCGCGGGGCATAGCACGGGTGAAACTCGTCTCCGGACAACCCGGCCAGGTGCAAAAAACGAGACATGAGTTCCTAGCCCTTCATACAAAGATGAATGATCGTTGATTGTGGCATTCGCTGATTGGAAGCAGTCGGATCCAAGTGCTTGAAGTTGCCGAAGACACTGAAGCATGTTTTATTTTTCGCTTGCCATGATTTTGGTGGATCTCTTTGTGGAGCAGAAGAATGTCGTTGCAATGGTTTGGTTGCAAATGGTCGGCAAAAGTCGTCATATCGAAGCAGCGAACCAAACAGTCGCAATCGAAACAGCCGCAGTACACAGTCCAATAAGGTGCACTTTCGAGATGGATCCATGCTTCGCTCAAAGAGGGGGAGACCGCTACAGTATGCAGAGTCGGGGTTGAGCGATCTGCTTCAGCGGCACAAACATCTGCTGAGAGAGTTGCGTTGCTGGCGCATGATGACCAAGCACATGCTGGACGTTGTTTGAGCAGTGCCGTTGATGATTATGATAGTCAGTCGCCGCAGCTGCACGCACAATACAAGCGTCGGTTTGCTCCGATTGACCACAATTCATACTGCGTCCATCTCGCCTGAGCCTTGGCGTGATCAACAAGGCAAGTCTTCGTCTCGTTGAACTCCAACGTGCAAGAAGTGCGGGCCTCGCCCAAAACAGATTGAAGTGCCCCCGCAGACAAAGACTTGAACCGACTCACTGCAAACAGGCTTTTTTTTGGCGTGGTCGGGCCTCGGTGACAGCGGCTGTTGCGCTCGGTCCCTTTTAGAAACAAGAAAGCAAGAACAGAAAACTAGACAAGGGTGACAGCTTCAAAGAGCTAACTAAACAAAGGCCGGCAAAAACCGCAGGTTCGAAAACTACGTCATCTACCCTGTTCGGCACCGGCAGTACTGCACAAGCCTCTCAGCAAGCAAACCCTCCAAACTGTACAAGGAAGGCAACAAACTACTCAGCGACAAACAGAGGTAGAAGAGAACCGTCGTCCAGCAACTACCCGAAGAAGCGGTTCCCCAAACCAAAGGTCCCCGGCCGTCGTTCTAGTCCCGTCGGACAACGAGCCACCCCGCAAACTTCGTTTCTGTGTTGTCGTGCACACCAAAGTCCAGGACAAGTGGAGCCATCCGGGAGCCCAAACCCACAAGGCCACAAGAGACACAGCGTTCTCGCGCTTGCAACTGCACCTTGCAACCCGGTGAAGAAAGGCACTGCCCAAAGCAGGGGCAGCGAGACATGGCAGGCCAAGGGTAGCCGAAGCAGCGGCTGCGCACGTTCTGACCGCAAAATGCACCGATAGAGTTGCGACAATGCCAAGCAGCAGCAACCAAGCAACGACAGAGCAGAGCCCAAATCCAAGACCGCAAGAGAAGCAGCGGAATTCGACTGCTACCCAACTGTGAGCAGCGCTTGAAAGATTTACAAAGCACTCTTAACTCTCAACCAATTGAGCGTCTTAACCGATCAGTTGTGCACTGCTAAGTAGCTTCACACTCGGCAGTTGAAATTGCTGCAAGACATGTTTTTGCACGCAAGTAATCATCTGACCCGTTCAGTTTGCCGCAAAGACCATCGAGTCCAAACATGTCAGGTTGTCTCTCTGAGGCATTGTTGCAGACGCAAGTCAGATGCAATGCAAAGAATCGAAGCTGCAAAGCGTTCAATCCAGCGTGGGAGAAGTGTCGCTTTGGAGCAACTGGACGTGCAGGTTCAAGAATTTCTGAGCTTTCATGGATCCATCGTTTCTGAGAGCAACGGATGCATTTCACAGTGGAGCTGAAGGAAGAAGAGTGAGAGGCATGAAGTGAATTCGATGCCAAGCATCTACCTGAAGAACAGACCGTTGAAGATGTCACGATTTTTTGCGTGATTGGGCCTCGGTTTGGTCGTGATTGAGCAGAACCACAATTGGCAGCCAGGCAATACGACGGTGAGGGTGTGGTTCAAGCAGGTTGCCAGTGTCGCGGACCAGATAGCATGCCATCGCGATTGGGACACCAGTGGCCGCCAGGGCTACCAGACCTTCTATCTCGGATAAGGCGCTCCTGACATCGCGGCTGGCGGCGGCTTGAGATGGCTGGGCCCTATTTAGACCGGTTTTTAAAATTATAGTTTGTGGCACTGCCACAGGCGGACTGAGCGCGCCTCCCAATGGTTGACTCCGAGTGGCGCCTCGGCAAAATGACGGGCGGTCCCAAAAAGTGCGTCGCTCCACTAGTAGTGCACCGAGGGGTTGTCTGCACGATTCCTGGCTGAACGACAGGCTTCATGGTTGCGCTGGGGCTCAGGTAGCGACATACGTCGCTTGCCAGTGGGAAGGGAGCCAGTATTCCTAGTGGATGTAGGCCTTTTCCAAACGAGTTCTGCACTTGGGGGAGTGGGCACTGATGCCCACCAGCCGATGTCGCTTCCTGTCGCCTACCTGCAGCATGCCATTGCCCGCCTGGGGCATGTCCATCTCCAAATGTACGAGGGTTACCTGCTTGTCCAAGCACTTCCAAGCTTCGATGAGAAGGCGGAGTGCCCGGACACGCCGGCTTCCTGGCACTGCACCATTCGTGGTGACTCGCAATACACTGGCCGAGCCGGCTTCTCGCTTGTCGGCTATCTTACAGAGCTCTCGGAGGGATTTGAATACATGGCGGTTCACTCGGAATGGCCAGTGGTTGTTTGCTCGCATAGCCAGGTTGCTGGACGCCGTCTCGTCGGCCTTCTTGTCGGGCGGCTGAATGCAAGAACCAGCGCCACTAAGCGTGCGCCTCTCGATGAGCGGAATTCCGAAGTCTGCTCTGTGTATGGCTTTCAGGAGCTCCCGACTTGCCAGGACTTTGCAGCCCTTTGCGCAAATCCCAGCTGTCCCCCGTTGCTATACGCCGACCGGTATGGCTCTGCATGGACCCAGCGGTTGTTTGCTGCCTACTCTCTGGCTCTTCACGGACACCGAGGCCTTGGAGGAGTATGACCACACCGGCTTTACTCTCCCACATCCTCAACCGTTGTTGTTGGATTGGCCGCCACGGGGAAAGACATGCGTGCGTCTTTTTCCCGCTCAGGAATGAGTCGGAGTTGGATAAGGCCGTTGTTTGGTGGGGTAAGGTCTACGCACTGTGGGTGATGCGATCACTGCTCCCAGGCAAACACATCATTTTGTCGGACCATGATGCTGCGCCCACCGCTGTTTGAGGTGGCCGATCTGCAGGACCTATGCCTGGATTCGCAGGATGTGCAGGACTCTCTCAATCCTCTGATCAGGCCTGCGCCTGATGACACCATATGGTCTTTCGCTCCGACGGTGCCCATGAATGGTTGCTTATGCGGCCATCGCTCCAGGGAATGCGTGGAAGTCATTTTTGTTACTGAGCCGTCCACTGACGCCCAGGGAGGGTTTGCGGTTTTCGCTAAGGAGCCCGGCTATCCTCATACTGACGTTGGCCTATTGCCTCACTGTATGCGGAACACTGACACCTGGACACGTTATGTTGCTGCTTGTGAGCGTGACGACACCGCGGGTTCCGCTCTCTCGCTCCAGCTTGATCGGCAATTTGACCTGGCATCGCAAGCCTTGGCAGATTGGACCGCTGAGGTCGTGCCCCTCCTGCAGTCGAAGTTAGCGCATCTGGTGACTTTGCAGCGTCAGCGCCCTTATGAGCGCCGCACCGCGGAACTGTTGGCCGGCACCCCCCTCTTCGGCACACAGGCTAGACACAGTGGGAACGTAGTCACCACGTGGACCTATCTAGGCGCCGTGCTGCAAACCCCCTATTGGCATCCCGATGCCGATGGGTGTTTTGATGCGAGCATGAAAACGCCGAACCCGGACGACTCCTTGCGTCAGGCTCTGGACCCACACGAGGAAGCCCTCCGCTGGGCAAGAGGTGCACATAAGCAGTGTGCCAACTCTACCTTGTTTGCCCTGAGTTCGCTCACCTGTCGAGTTTGCAGTCTTCCCGGACCCAACCTACTCATGGCAAAAACGCTCCCTCCCAATGATCGTTGCATTGGGCCGGCCTTCGTCCATGGCTATGGAAGTAGTGGCAAAGCTCCTCTTGCACAGCTTGATCGGCT